ATGTACGGTACAGCAGAAAGATGTGTTTTGGTGTTTTTGTTTTCTTCTTAGCTTTTTAATTGTCTCTTTTGAATGGTGTGTAAATGTGGTTTATCTCTATGTGTCTATTGATAGTTGATTTGATAGTTGATGCCAAGCTAATGAAATTAGCTTGATAGTAGATGCCAAGCTAATGAAATTCAATACCAGCAATTCAACCATATATTTTAGTATAATGTGTCAGTTTTGATAATATCAAATCCCAAGTAGAATGGAGCTGTTAGATTCCATAAATGATTTACATATACCCATATATATATTGGTATAATTCCCTATCAATTTTTAATTATTTTAATATTATTATACAAGTCTGGAAATTTACAAAGCTGATGACTTGATGCTGAATTGCATGCAAAACTTGGTATACTAACAGCTTCAGCATTCTTTGGAAATCAGAATTTTTATGTGGTCAGCAAGTTTTAATTCAGCCTATATACAATATCTCTAAATTACTGAAAATACAAATAAAAGAAGAAAAAGAAAAGAACAATCTTAGAATATATAGTCATTAATAAAACATTAGATTTGAACTGAATAGCTCACTGAGAAAATACAAAACCTTTCTTTTTTGTATAGATTTTACTAAGTCAAGTGTATCAAACTGGAAGACCTTCAGAACGGCAATTCTTCACTTTCACAGACGAAAGACTTCCTAAGGAAGCTACAGTATTTGCAGAGCTACAAAGGAAATTAATTTATTCTTATTGATGCCTGCTCATATGGGAAAGTAGATCACAATGGAGCTGGCACTGTACCATGAGAAGCAGGATGTAGGGCGAATAGATCTTGAGATTCATCCTTGCGTACCTCTAGTACAACATAAAATTCTGATCCATTCAAGAATGGTAGCTACATATACAATACATTTTCCAAGTAAAGAATGTTCATTTATCTGAAAGAAACCAAAGTCAAAATGGATAACTAGTAAAACTGCATTGCAAAAAAGCAGATCAGACCAGCAGCATATTGACTGCCTCGGTTTGAACAGGATGTTACCTATGACTGGAATTACAATGATTAAATCCCCATTACAATGAATACAGTTGGGGAATATATGGCCCTTCAAATGTCATTGAACTGAATCTCCCAGCATCCTTCACTGCTGGCAATGCCAAATAGGCGTAATCTATCGGTCTCTGACATAACAATCTTTGGTATATTCCTGTGCTCATGGAACAAAAGTTGGATACATTCGGCAGTACCAAGTAAGTTATCATAGTTCCACATTTTTTTCAAAACTAACAGATTTCTCTAACTCTGTTTTAATCCTGTGTTTCAATGTCTATGATTTATTGATTCAATCACGGAAATCTTGGATGGATAGATCTAGATGGATCAGACAGGTGGAAATTACTTCTACCTATTCTTGATAGAGTCCATACAATTTCTGAGCACAAAGAGAGCTCCAAGTAGTGAAGCAGCATAGATAATGGGTAAAACCAGTGGTAGAGGCAAGCTATTCCATTCATTTTACATATCCATATAGGGTATTTGTCTTTAAAGTATGCATATGCTGTACAGTTCAATTAATTATTTTCTATAAAATTAATTGGTTTTATGTCATCTACATTTGTTACTTTTTTTGTTATTATGTTTTTATTTGTTTTTATTCCTTGATAGCTGCCCAGAGCCATCATTGAGATGGGCAGCCCTATAAATTAAATAAACAAATTGTTGTTGATCAAGCTTCCTGGTGACTGGTCTGCTGTGTAATCAGATTTGAATCCATGTCTGATAATGCTCTAGGTCTTGGTGGTGGCACTGAACTGTTAAAGAAGAGCTCAGTTCTGTCGGATCTCTGTACACTTGTATTTTAGTACCTTTGCTTCATGTTATTCATGGACCTCTCCACAGGGCTTTTACTTTGTATATATTTATTCTAGATATAGTCTAACTGGGGAAGTTTGATGGTGCTCCAGATGCTATCTCATGTAGTGAACCTCTGGGGCAGCCTTCCAGAAACCAGACATTGTTTGACTGCTGGGATTCTGAGCAATGAAAGGTTCCCAACTTAAGAAAAGTTGCTCTATGGCAAGAATTGATTCCTTGTTTCAGATGTTTGCCCTCAGTATAAGGAGGGCATTAGTACAGGGCTGAAAGAAGTGGAGAGTAAGCATGCTTTTCATGGTCATTCTCCTCCCCTGTTGTTTTTGTCACTGACTGAGATTGATAAATATAAATGAATTCACACTCTTAACAAGTTTTTCTTTCATTTAGTTGTCCATACTGATTAAACAAATATTTCCAGATCAATGAAATATTATTCTGAGGCTGTGAGGCTAGTAAAAACTTACAGCAACTGCCTCCAGGATTTGTTTCACAGCATCAGCAGCATCTCGTTCACTGTAATATCCTTTTTCCACAATTCTATAAAAAATCCAAAAGATGCCATTCAGACTCAGGGATTTCTAGAACAGCACAATTGTAGGCAAACTTGTAATTAAAATAAATCACGAATAATCAAGCAACGATATAATCTATCATGTCTTGGGGGGAAAAGCTCCTTGCTAAAAACAAGTTTACTCTGGCCTATAACAACCATTGTGCTTCCTGAAAGATGCTTTCAAGAAATCAATCTAAATACTCTGGAAACAAAATTAATTTATGTTAATAAATATTACATGTTTAAAATAAAAGCTACTATAGAAATGTTAAAGATTACAGCCTCCAGACCAATAAGTAGGTGTACAGTATAGACGATTAAATCCATAACTTGGAATACCTTTCAAGATCAGGTGCTCTTATGTGTTGTTTTATTTTATAGAATTAGACTCACAAAGTTGCCATCATGACTTCTCAGTAAAGAAGGGCATTGTGGTTTTCTCATAGAAAGCAGCTTCTATGAGAAACCATGAATGAGGTGATATGCTGCAGTGTAGAATTATATGACTATGATGGCTAGAGCAACCTGAAAGAGGTATGATCAATGCTCTTGACAAGATTAATCCCGATTTAACAATTGACCTCTGAACAACCCATCTAGTTGTAGAAGTGGCAGGATGGATGGGATAGTCAGGCTTTTGAACCCAAGGCTTTTAAGTTATGTTCTACACCCCCAAAAAGCAAGCCTTACACTCAGAGTTTCCAAATGATTGCACAGAACGCTTCACAACTTAAAACTGTACTGTGGCAGTTGAACTTGCAGCATAGGACCAAGCATGTTCATTGTTTAAGTTCCACTGAATAGGATAATAGTTAAAAGGAATTATCCTCATACCTTCTACTCTGGGGCAGTCACACTGAAATCAATGGGTCTACTTCAGAATAAGTGATTTGAAGACTGCAGAAATAAGCCATCTGTTATCTTAGATTTAGTAATAGCACTTCTTTGTCAGATCTTACAAGCAACTTGCTTGTTGTGAGACTGTGTGAATTAAAATGTAATAAATCACAACAGAGACACTTAGAAAAATACATACTATAGCTATACAAACGTTGAAAATGATTTGGAAGTACTTTGGACCTCTTGCAAGAACAGCACCTATTTATTAAATCAGTCCAACTTTTTTCAGGCTTCCAGCAGATGTGGCATTAATTTCAGTGATTAAGCAAAACAGCCATCATGTTTTTCAGGCTCCTACTGAAGCCTGGAAAAAAATGAATAGCAGAGAGATGCAAGGTCACACAGGGTCCAAAACACTTTTTTCAAATATTTGAAGTGTGCACATTTCTAGTAATCACAGATTAGTTAAAATAGCATAACGATCCTCAACAATTGCTGTAAAGTGCTTCCAAGCTAGATGCAGAAAAAAAGAAAACTGGCAAGCTTAGAAACTCTTAAACATCTGGGAGTACACTAACATCACCAAAACCTTTTCCCATGTACAGTATTTGTTTTATTCTCTTATTGATACCCAAGAAATAAGGCATTAATCAAGTTTTGCTTAGAACTTTTTTATATGATACAAATTGGTCAGTGTGGGGATGACAACTTTCAATTTAAGAAATATTAGTGGCCCAGGTCAACAAATGAAGTCAGAGAAGGTCTAGGAAGGCACTTAGCATTTGAAGATATGAGATAAGTGGTATAACAATAATTTAATTGGGGGTTTCTCTAATGTTTATGGCTTTTTCAGACATCAATGCCAGTTTTCTGTGTCTTATATCAAAAATTGCAATTTGATGGCAGCACCTAGCACTTGCCTGTTCTTTGAAAAGTTAAGCAGGGTTAGATCTGGTTAATACTTGGATGGGAGAATACTAGGGAAACTGAAAAACTTCCCCCCAAAAGACAATAGCAAATGATTTCTGCCAAGAAACTGCATGGATATGCTCAGGCAATCAACAGGAGTCAAGGTCAGCCTGGAGACTTGACTTAAGTAGAGGGTCCAAGGTTCAATTCTCAGCAGTCTCTTCAATGATTTGTGAAATGTTTAGTATGATTATCGGTCATCATTTAGAGAATGGCAGTCAGCCAGTAAGGCTCTACTTTCTCAGAAGAATGCAGAAATATACTTTTTTAAAAAGTCATATAGAACTACAAGAAAAGCAGCACAAAATATTTCATGAAGTCACAAAGTGGTGTGTATTTTGGAGCTAATATACAGTTACTGTAAAACTAGGGAGAGGCACAAACACCAGCATTTTATGTTGAATTCTATGTAATAAAGGCAGCTAACCCATGCAAGGCAGCTAATTTTAGAATCTTTCCAATATATTTATTAATCATAATAAGATTTTTAAAAATATATAGTTTAGAAGGTAGATAGCGTGAACCAAAAAAATGTTTTATTTGGCAACAGAAAC